TTAGACTAAAATTCACATGTTTTTCATGGAGAACTCTAATATTATGTGAAATATGTTTTTCAAGAGCTTTTGAAGTATCCTTAGGTATATATTCATTTACAGAATTGCTTAAATATCATAAAATTAAGAACATTGGTTTATATCAAATCTAAAAACTTAAGCACAAATTGCATGAATGGTGAATTCTGATAAAATACATTAACTTTTTCATTAAAGTTCATATTTAATGCATAATTTCAGCACAATGATTGATTTTTGTCATCAACTAAAAATTAAGGTAATTAAAAATACCAAACTCAAGGAAATAAAGTGACTCGCTGAAATTTCATCCCTTTACATCATCTCATCTTCTTTGCCATTCTGGTATTTTATTTCTATATTCGTTTTAGATCTGATTCGTTCTTTTCATTTTAAAAGCAACCTGAATAAAACCCCACATGTTGAACAACCTTTGATGTTATGACCTCACTGTTCTTTTTCATAAATGCATGATTCCTTGTCACGTGACTTGAGTATTTTATTTCTACAGATCTGAACCGCAGATCTTTGTATGATTAGGCACTTCATGCAAAGAGTTAAAATGTCACGTTTGCCAAGAGATCTTTGATAATTCAATAGTTAAAATACCTTTCACCAATCTTCTAGCCTCTAACCCAGGTTTAGTTTCTTTGTGCATCTATCACTACTCAAAAGCATCCTGTGTATTTATTCGCTTGTGATTACGTATTTCTCTCTCTAGAATATAAGGCCCAAGATGACTGGGTTGTTGTCTATTCTGGAATGTTTACCACATGTCAGCAAAACCTTGTTGTGACCTGAAAGAACTGATTCTGGTAATGCTGGATTTCCTAAGGGATAAACAGTAAGAATGTTTGGACTGTCTAGTCAACATAATTTACCAGATTGACCAGTGAAAGCAAGAGCAAAGTTTACAGATCTCCAAGCCCTTTTGGAATAAAAATGCTAATTTTCTATAAAGTAAAAGTGTCATGGAGCACACAGTGTTTCATTTTCTAAAATATTCATTCTCTTCAGGTAGTAAATTAAAAAATGTTCATTGTATGGCAGAATGTTTAGAGTCCACACTGAGCATATTGACTGAATGACTACATTAAATCCTCAAAATCTTTTGAAACTAGTCTATTTACTAGCTTCCGTAGATGGGCACTTTATGAATTACAAACCATTCGACATAGAGGAATTGGTTTAATAGTGTGTTGTTTTAGCAGTTAGAAACAGAAGTAGACATGAAATTTCAATATGAATAAATACAGAACATCGAGGTTAATTTTATCAGAGTGCACTTGATTGCATCTATACCTAAATGTATTTCTCTACATAAAAACTTTCTAATTAATTCTATATAATCACCTCAACATTATTACCTCTTTGAGTCGTTTTCTCTAGTGATGCACTTGTAAATATACTGATATTTTATGGAATGGCTCAAAGGTTATTTAAATATATTTAACAATAATACATATTGAAGTATATTTTCCCTACATTTCTGTATTTGGACAAACAGAATCATATTCTGTTTGTGTGTGTGCATGCAGATATATATATATATATATATATAGAGAGAGAGAGAGAGAGAGAGAGACAGAGACAGAGAGAGAGACAGAGAGAGAGACAGATACATAGTAATATAAAAATAACTGCTTCTTTGGCCATTAGTTTGATATATGTAAATACATATACATATACACAGAGAGAGATATAATCTTTCATACATAGAAAACTGAAAGACATACTACCTTTCTAAGTAGCACATGGTTAATACAGGGTAAAGTCTTGTATTACAAAGCAAAATTCTATAAATCCCTTTAAAATAATATATTCTTCAACTGATCACCAGTGCTCTTGGAAAAGGTAACTGTCTGGAACCATGATCCTTTGAGTGTTAATTATTGATAAGGTTACAACCATCAAATGTCTAAAGATCTTTCATAAAAATTTCTCAATCTAAATATCTGTGATATACAGCTACACTGCTTCAGCTTTGCTTTCAGCCATGCAGCATGAGCCCTTTCATTAGTGCATGGCTTCACTTAAGGGCTGAGCTGACAGAGGGATCCAGCACATTGAAAGGAAATTTGGAGCTAAGAGACAAAAGTAGCAAAACAATAGACACCAAATCTTACTCAGATGCATCAGTTATAGCAGTACGGAGTTGTTTCCTATTTGGTTTTTCCACAGCGCATCTCAGTTCAGGCAGAAACCCAGGGATGCACTCCAGATGACACAGAAGGAGGTCAGATGGAAATTTTTGTCTTGTTTCAGAGATGAATTCAATCCATCCCTTCTTTCATAAGAGACAATGCTCACTGATGGAACTTCTGCTAATGTGTTTTAACTTCACTGACACTGAAAATCTTTTCTCCTCCGTGCTTCTAGCCTCCACTTAAAAAACAATCTATGCAGAACAATATTATCAGAGATGGCTACACATTTTTAAAAATCTGATTACGTCTATTTATTCACCTTTTGCAGTGTTCCAAACATAATCAGCTACCTTTTACCTTATGAAATATGACTAATGCAAATCAATGCTGTTTCAGGCTATGCTTTCTTAGACTGTCTTTCAAAGCCTAGAGTCTTGTGCGATCCGGGGATGTACCTCAGTGGTGCCGCACCTGCCTGGCAAGTGCACGGTCCTGAGTTCGATCCTCTGTTCCTAAAAAATACAATGGATATAAAATAAGAGCCTTGATAAGATTAAAAAACACTCTACACTCATACATTTGGAGGAGGAAGAAGATATAATGTTGAGAGAGGGAGGGAGATACATAAAATTACAACGGTTTTATATTTTTACAGCCACAACATTGGCATTTAGCTGTCACAAAGGGTTTCCTCATTTAAAAACCAGCCCCTTTATATTCTAGGCGAGTCTATGAAGTCAGAACCCTGTGTCTCAATTCCCAGTTCCCATGATTTTCATGAAGCTATTTGAAAAATATTTTTTAAAAATTACCAGCATCAATTTAATTAAAATTACTCATATTTAATTCGAACTCATTTTTACATTAAATATGATTGTTTTGCCTAATAATAAAGAAAACTAGAGTAACCTGAATCCAGTAATAGAGTTTACTTTAAACAAACACAGAAAGAACCTGATACAAAATAGTTTTGTTGAAAATAGCACAATATAGTATGAAAAGATAAAAGGCCAAAATATTAATTTTACTTTGAATATATATTCTCTTTATCAGAAGAGATCTGTGTTAAAAAAAAACCCTACCTAATCATAGATTCCACTCATGGTATTCATACCTCATTTAGCTTTCCTGTGTTTTTCTTATTTTGTGAGAAACATGTGAATAAGGATGGAATACAAATAAACAAAGTCTGGCAAATCGGTATGGTTCCTACCTTTGGCCTTAGATACCACTGTTCCCATGCAACTCCAGGGAGCCAGTTTCTGCCCTTAACAGACTTTATAGAGAGAGAGAGGTTGGGGAGGGAGAGAGAGGGGGAGAGAGAGAGAGAGAGAGAGAGAGAGAGAGAGAGAGAGAATGTCTTGGTCAACTTTCTGTTGCTATAACAAGATACCTGTGATTGGATACTTTATAAAACATCGAAGCATTTTCTTGTTTGTTTTGAAGGCTGAGAAATTAAAGAGTGAAGTGCCAGAATCTCGAGAAAGCGTTCTTGCTACATACATCATAACCTAGTAGAAGGCATTGTGGCAAGGAAAAGCAACTGTATAGCTCAGGTGTATCTTCCTTATGTTTATAAAGCCACTGATGCCATCATGGGGACTTTACTTTCATGACGGTCTCATACAAATTCTCACACAAATTTGGGTAATGTTTTTCTATTTTTATAAACATTTTACTGGAGTGCAAACACGGATTGCACTGAATCTGTAAGTCACTCTGAGTGGTATAGATTTTTTTATAATATTAATTATTTTGACCTCTAAACAAAGCAATCATGTATCTTCAACTTCTTTCATTAATGTTTTAAATTTTTTAATAAAGTTTTTATTTCCTGTTAAATTTATTCTTAAATATTTTGTCATTTTTATTATAAATCAGATTGTCTTCTTAGTTGATTTTACAGACGTTTCATTGTCAGTGTACAGAAAGTGTTTAATTTAAACTCTGCAAATTTACTGAATTCATTTTTCTAATTTTATGCATAGAACTTTATGTAATTTACAAATTAAAACAATTTTTCTTCCCCCTTTCTTGTTCACTGCCTTTGTTTCCTTTTCTTGTCTACTTGCTCTGAAGAGAATTTCCAGAATCTCATGAAGTAGGAAGAGGTGAGAAAGGTATCCTTATCTTGCTCCTAATAGTAGTGAAAAAACTTTCAGCATTTTTTCTGGAATCTGATGTCACCAACTGGCTTGTGATATCCGGCCTTTGTAGTATTCATACACACTCCATATATACCTTTATTGTGAGAGTTTTTACATTTTTTAATATAAAACAATGTTGAAGTTTGTCAAATGCATTTTCTGCATTTATGGAGAGTGTATAATTTTTTTCCTTTATTCTGCTATTACAATTGAGATTTTGATAGGGATTGCACTGAATTTATAGATTTCTTTGAGCAGTATTAACATCTTAACAACAACTTCAAATCTCTTAATGCAGACATCTACCCATTCATCTACTGCTTTTTTATTTATTCTCGCTAATGCTTTTTGTTGTTTTCTGTGTAAATATCTTTCAGCTCCCTCATTAAATTTATTCCAACTTTAAACTTTTTAGATACTACTGTCAATGTGACTGACTACTTAATTTCCCTTTGGGATTTTTTTTTTTTGTACGATGTATAGAAACATAATGTTTTTTTGTATTGATCTTGTAATTTACAATGTGCTGAATTGACTTATTGGCTTTGATGCTGTTCTTATTGACCCCTCATCTGTAGGGCTTGTGTTATGTATGGATACAGATAGTGTTATTTACTCCTTTCCAATTTTTATGACTTTTACATATTTTTCTCATCTAAATTACTGTGGATACAACTTCCAACACAATATTGGATAGCAGTGGTAAGAGTAGATATATTGGGGTTCCTCCCTTCCTTAAAGGGAAAGTGTGAAATTTTTTATTATTGTGATGCCAGCTGTATGCTTTCCATAATCATTCTTTATCATGTTGAGAAAATGCTCTTCTATTTCTAGGTCTTAGGGCCCCCCCTTATTTTATCTTTACAAGGGTTGAATTTTTTCACATATTTATTTCTGCATCAATTAAGACAATCATAGATTTTTCCCTTTTGCTCTCTTAATGTAGTGCAGTACTGTGGTTTTCTTATGTTAAATAGCTTTCCTTTCCCTGCATAAGTCTAACTTGGTCATGATGTATATAATCCTTTCAATATACCTTTAGAATTGCTTTGCTGGCATTTTATTGAGGATTTTTTCATTTATATTCATGAAGATTAATTTTCCATAAATTTTGTTTCTTCTGCTTTCTTCATCTAGTTTTGGAATCAGGGTAATACTGGCCTCATACAATGAATTAGAAACGGTTCCCTCCTCTTCCATTTATTACCTAAGTTTGAGAGGAATTCATGTTAATTCTTGAAATATTTGATATAATGGAAAGTCCTTTAGTCCCAGACCTTTTTTTTTGCTAAGGGGATTTTTTTTATGTTTGACTCAGTCAGTTTTCTTGCTACACGTCTTTCAAGATTTTCTACTTTTCTTCAGTCAATTTAGGTGGTTGTGTGTTTTTTTTAAGAAATTATCAATTTCATCATAATTATCTTATTTATTAGTATATAGGCATTCAGAACAGTCAGTTACATTCCCTTTTGTTTCTTTCACGTTATTAGTAATGTCTTCAGTGTGACCTGGGGTTAACTGTCATCCTTTCATTTTGCTCTTTATCAATCTAGTTAAATATTTCTCATTTTCAAAGGAAAGCCTTCTAATTTCATGTATTATTTTGTCTGCAGAGAAAATATTTTGTGTGAGTTAAAATATATTGATATTTGTTTTGTGCCCCAAGATAAGATGAATTTTGGAGAATAGTACACGTGCAGTTGGAAAGAAATTGTATTTTGCTGATGTTGGTTGTTATGTCCTATATTTGTGTGCTAGATCTTTTGGTTTTAGTGTTATTGAAGTGCTGTTTCCTCACTAAATTTTGTCACTGTGCTACATCTTTGAGTAGGAGTGATATATTGAAGTGTCCATCTATTAGTGTAGAAGCGTCTATTTTCTTTCCAATTCATATTTGCAGCATGTATTTAGGGCTTTTTGTTTGTTGAATGTACAATTATAGTTTTTATATTTTCTCAACAAATTGTGATTTATAACCGTACAAAACATCCCTCTTCTCCTTTGACACTTATTGCACTGATGTATATTTTGCTTGATACCAGTATAGGCACTGAAATACCATTTTCCATGTTTATAACTTTCAACCTGACCATGTCTTCAAACTAAATTGAGTATCTTATGGACTTCATGTAATTTGATCATTTGTTTAAAAAATTAGAATCTATTACCTAAAAGTTATAATCGATTTTAGACTTTCCTTTATATATCATGTAATTAATATTGAAGGATTCATTTTTTGCATGTGCGTTCCTGCATGTTCTGTAAATTCTTTCTTCATTTTCTCCATTTATAACTTCTTTGTATTTAGTTGATTTTTTTTTTTGTAAAACATTACATCTACTGGAGGTTAAACTTTAGTGAGAAATCAAATCCTAAAGAAAAACGTGAGCTGAGAGAAGCAACTAGAGACCATGAAGGTATTAAACATTCCTTTAATCATTGACATTAAAGTAATTCCAATACCTATGATAATAAAGTACAATTTGGAGGAAATTTAATAAAGTAGAATTTAAGCCAGGCATGGTGGCACACGCCTGAAATCCCAGAACTTGGGAGGCTGAGGCAGAAGGATCGCTGGGAGTTTGAGACCAGCCTAGGCGACATAGTGAGTTCCAAGTCAGTCTCAACTACATAGTGAGACCCTGTCTCAAAAAACCAAAAAATAAAAAAAAATAAATAAAGTAGAATTTAAAATAGTATAAAACAATTCCTAAAATAATGGGTTTAAGTTGACAAGTATTAATGTTATTGTGTTTGTATCTTTGGGATTAATATACAGCTATATTATAAGATTTGACTTTTTGTAATTATAAATTAATAATTAAAATGTAATAGCAATAGACTGTCTAGTTTTCCTCTATTGTATAGATGAAAAGTAGATAAATAAATTCATGGTAAAGAAAGCTAGAGTAAGGGAAAAAAAGAACAAAAGCCTACCCCTCCTAAAAAAGCAACAATAAAATTGATAGATGAAGATCAAGATACCTTTTTAAAAAATGAGTATCAAAATTTAGTTTGCATAGATAATGTAAATATATTTTACATTTTATTTTTTAGAAATTGAAGTTCTCATGTGAGATGTGTTTTTAAAACATATATAGTTATTGTGTTTTTCATTGCTACTATAATAAATCATTGCAGATTTAATAGATGAAAACATTAGAGATTTCTAATGATTCTGTAGGGTATAAGTTCATTTTGAGTCTTGCTGAGTAAGATCAGGGTACATAGGGGCCTTCTTGTTTTGTTTAGTTCTCTTTCTTTGGAGTCTCCAAAGGAGACTCATTTACTTGCATTCATTTTCCAGCTTTCAAGGGCTCTCATTTTCCTTGGCTGATGGCCTATTCTTGAAAGGCAGTGAGTTA